AAATCTTATGCTCCCAATACTTCTGTTAGTCTTAAAGGTGCCACAGGACCCTCTGTTGCTTTTTACTAAAATGAAGGTATATCATGTCTACTCTTTTCCCCCTATCCACTAGGCCAGTAGGTCGGTCAAACAAAGGAAATTAGATTGGTTTCGCATGATTTGTGCTTGACAAATTTCTGCTGGCTATTCCTTATAACCCTATTATCCTCCAGGTGCTTACAAATTGATTGTTTAATAATTTAGTCTAATATCTCTCCAGGAATTGAAGTTAGGTTGAGTAGTCTATAGTTATCTAGGTTCTCTTTGTTCCCCTTTTAAAACATAGGTATTAGGTTTGTCCTTCTCCAGACATCTAGGACCTCACTCATCCTCCATGAATTTGCAAAGATTATTCCTAATGGTTCCAAGATTTCTTCAGCTAGTTCCTTAATTACCCTAGGATGAATTTCATTAGGCCTGCTGTTTTGAATACATCTAACTTATCTAAATATTCTTTAACCTGTTCTTTCCCTATTTTGTGTTCCTTCCCCCTTGTTGTTAATATGAATTGTGATAAGCATATGGTCACAATTTACCATTTTAGTGAAGACTGAAGCAAAATAGGCATTACACATCTTCTTGATATCATCTATTGTTACCTCTCTTTCCCTGCTACGTAGTGCCCCTACACTTTCCTTCATCTTTCTCTTGCTTTTATTGCATTTATAGAGCTTCCTCTTATTGCCTTTTATGTCCCTTGCTAGGTGTATCTCATTTTGTGCTTTAGCATTTTTGATTTTGTCCTTACATGCTTGTGTTATAACTAGTAAATCTGACTGGGCTGCATTGTGACGTGTATAGGCAAATGCCCCTTCTTAGTGTCCCAAGGAATCTTGGCTGCAGTATAGTTTATAACAGACTGGCAACATTCTTTCCACTTTAAAACGCCAACTGAGAGAGACAAGTCTTTTGAATGTTGTAACAAAAGTAGTTTGGAACTAAGTTAAGTGTCACCACTGATACATCATTGTTTCACCAAATTCCAGAAAGACTCTATTGTGAGGCAATACAAGTCTTGACTAGTGGAGGAAATAGAGATGAAAGGTGTGCGAATTAACTGAAACAGCAAGGAAAGCAAAGTAAACTTCTCCCAGCTATTTATGTGTTCAAAGATATAACAATAGTAACACACTACCAGCCACGGGTGTCTGTCCTATAGTCTGGTCACATACGTTAAAACTCAGAAAATAAGCACTGAGTTCAGCTGTGGCTTAATGCTATAGACCAAAACATGGGTGACAGGAAGGCACAGAACCTGGCCAGGGCCCGAGCCAATGCCTTGGGCCTAGTCCAATGCCTGTTAAAATCAATGAGGGTCTTTCCATTGACTTTTGTGTGCCCTTTTGTGTGGCACCATTTTATATCAATATAATTCTGTTGATGTCATCAGAGTTTAACTGATTTACACCAGTGTAAGCTAGAAGAAAATCAGGCTGATTGTGCCTCAGTTAAGCACAATGTCTCTGGGAGATGAGGGGGAGTTTTAGTTCTGCAGCACTTGTTCATAGGGTCAGGAGTGGCGCCAGGGATTTTGGCGCCCTAGGCAGAGGTCCTTCCGTGCTCCCGGTCGTCGTCGGCAATTCTGCAGCGGGGGGGTCCTTCCGCGCTCCTGGTCTTCGGGGCACTTCGGTGGCGGGTCCTGGAGCAAGTGAAGGACCTGCCGCAGAATTGCCGCCGAAGACCCAGAGCGCAGAAGGACCCCCTGCCGCCGAATTGCCGCTGAGGGCGGCAAAATGCCGCCCCCCAAATCCTGGTGCCCTAGGCAACCGCCTAGGTCGCCTAAATGGAAGCGCCGGCCCTGCATAGGGTACAGCACATCCGCTGGTTTGCTGGCTGGTGCTGAGGTCCTGTTGCCTCTCTGAGTACTCTGGGGAGACTAGTTCCAACAGAGGTGCTAGCCTGGAGCAGTCCATGCGGTTACAAGGAATGCTACTGCCTATGCACAGCTGCAAGGGGAGAGATGTATCTCTCCCAGCCTCACTGGTGCAATCCTGCAGTGCTTGCCATAGTGCACCAGTATGTGATTAGACTCAAAGTCTCTTCTACCACAGTTTGAGGTTGTCAGAGGAGAACTGGCAGAACAGATTGTTTATTTCTGGCTGGAGTCTATTTGTACTTATCCCGCTGTGGTTAACTATGTTTTTATTTATTATTAAGATGTGTCTGTACACGCAGAGTCAATAGAAGCAGCCCAGTCACATTTGCTTGAAATGATTAAAAACATTAGCGCTGTTCCAGGTATCTTTGCCAGAGAAAGAAACTAATTGTCTGAAGAAATAATAGATATTTATAATTTATTGAGCTTTTGACATTTTAGTTAAGTAAATAAATAGCACTTGAACAGTCCTTTACATTTACAAATGTTAATGACATCACGAGATCCCTAGGAAGTGACTGTTATTATCCCCTTTTTTCGGAGCACGCAGGCCCTGATCGTCCAAACACGAAAGTGCTTAACTTTATGTAGATGGTGTCAGGAATCAGGGCCTGCAGCAGAGCTAATCTCCAGGCAGCCTCATGAGTACAAGATGGCTTGCAGCAGGCTGCCTGATTGGCCACACCACCTGATTGACTGGAGGGACCAGCGGGCCACTCGTAAGCCAGCAGCAACAGCAGCTCGCTGGTGATCAATGCTCATGCCCACTACTGTGCCTGTTCCAGTGTTAACTTGTTCCTGCTGCTCCTGTCCTGCCCCCAGCCTTGCCTCTGTCCTGCTCCTGCCCTGATCCCCTCCTTGCCTGCTACCCTATTTGCTCTAGTTCCGGACCTCTGTCTTGACCTATGGCTCTGGCTTCTGACTACTGGTTCATGCTCTGACCCTAGACCTTAGTTCCTGATGCCCAGAGCTTAAATTCATCCAGGGCTGTCCAGAGCAGAGCTCCGATAAATAGTTTCAAACCCATGTGGCAGAAGCCCTGAGCCCTGGCGTCCCCCATGAGGCAGAAGCCCCAAGCCACTGGTGTCCCCGCAGGGCAGAAGCCCCAAGCCCTGGCACCCCCCACGGGGTGGAAGCCCCGAGTCCCAGGGCTCTGGGAAATACTCTGTGAGAATTTAAGCCCTGCTCTAATCACCATTGCCTGATGCCCACTCTGATCACTAGGCTAGACAATCCTAGCTCCAATCGCCTGACACATGGGCCGTCTCAATTAAACCACTTGTGTAAAGCATATGCATAAATCTTTGCAGGATGAGCACCACGGAGAGGTTACAACTTAGACCTTTCAAAGTACTCAGTATGTGACCCTAACTCTGCTCCCATTGAAATCAAGGGAAATTTTACTACTGACTTCAATGGGAACAGTTAGGCTGATGCACAGTACTTTTTGATAATCCTACCCTAAGGCTTGGTCTACACTACTCCCCTAATTCGAACTAAGGTACGCAACTTCAGCTACGTGAATAACGTAGCTGAAGTCGAAGTACCTTAGTTCGAACTTACCTTGGTCCACACTCGACAGGCAGGCTCCCCCGTCGACTCCGCAGTACTCCTCTCGCCGAGCTGGAGTACCGCAGTCGACGGCGAGCACTTCCGGGTTCGACTTATAGCGGGCAGACTTGACGCGCTAAGTCGAACCCAGAAGTTCGATTGCCAGCCGCCGAACTAGCGGGTAAGTGTAGTCCAAGGCCTAAGTGACTTGCCTGAGGCAACACAACAAGTCAACCAGAGAGTCCAGGATTAAATGAGTTCCTACTTCCCAGACTTGTCAAAGTGTTTGGTGTCCCAGAGGGATGAAAAATCTAAAGTATTTTCAAGATGCACCATCACTGTAACGAAAATCTGCAGACAGATTGGGCCAAATCCTGCTTTTCTTACTCAGGTTAGCCAATTCATTGAAGATAATGGGTCAGGTTCATCCCCAGTTTTACACCATTGTTTTAATTCAGGGGTTCCCAAACTTGGTTCATGGCTTGTTCAGGGTAAGCCCCTGGCGGGCTGCGAGATGCTTTGTTTACCTGAGCGTCCGCTGGTACGGCCGCTTGCAGCTCCCAGTGGCCGCGTTCGCTGTTCCAGGCCAATGGGAGCTGCAGGAAGCAGTGCAGAGCGGGCCACTGCTTCCCGCAGCCCCCTTTGGCCAGGAACAGCAAACCACAGACACTGGGAGCTGCAAGCGGCCGTACCAGCGGACGCTCAGGTAAACAAAGCATCTCGCAGCCCGCCGGGGCTTACCCTGAACAAGCCATGAACCAAGTTTGGGAACCCCTGGTTAAGTTGGTATTACATCAGGGATAAAATTGTTACCTAAGCAAGGCAAACAGGATGTGTCTTATGTTAATTATTATCCCATTCTTTTGCGATGATGCAAGAGACACTCGTGAGAAAGTCCAGTAATAACCAATTTCTGTATGCATAGAAATCATTGAAAAGATAGAGCAGAGTTTTAAAATCGAACTTTGAAAATGTTTAACACATTTTAATTTAATGTCCAGCTCTCATGTAGTTACCGAGTAGATGCAGATTTGTCTCTATACGAAGTGCAGATTGAAACAGCAGCTCTTCACGGTTTTCAATAGAAGATTCTGCTTCTAAATGACTTTTTAACCAACTAGCATATTCTTCTTTGCTTAGAACCTATTTAAAAGGAGAAGGTAAGAGTACATCCAAAAAGATGCATAAGCATTCATGCATTACTGAGTAAAATGAAAAAAAAATCCCTAAGAAATGTTCTTGCTAATGGACTGCAACAAAAAGATTTGTCAATACTCTCCTTAAAAGCAAACTAAGAGCTTGCATATACTTACTCTCTTGGCAATACACAAGGTCCGCAGCCCATCTACAGCATACAGATTAAGGTAATTCTGAGTTTTGCTTTGGATTTTTTTTTGATGATTGCCTCTAGGGTCATCTAGTTAAAAATAAAGGAGAAAACTAATGAATGAAAAATAATAGCAATTAAATGGCCTTAGAGAATACAATTGTTTCTTCAGCACTTACTGTACAAAAGCTTAAGAAGCAATACTTTTAAAGAGTGCCTGACGTCTCATGGAAAATTTTGAAAAGCTTTCTATTTAGAAACTATTCTCTTTACATACTATCTATTTTTTAATTCCCTGTTTAAAAGTCACCAAGAACAACTGTATAACAATAAGATCTTTCCTTATTAAGCATTCATCTGCTCCTCAAGTATTTTGTGACATCCTGATAATCTCCATAGCCACCAAGTATGTCACGAACAGAGGTATGATTTCAAACTGGCAATAAACAGAAGCAGATGGGCTATGTATCAAAAATCTTATTATTAACCAAATGTTTTTAAATAAATGTGGGTAGAAAAGATATTTAATTTTATTTAGAAATAATACTAAGTTCTCAAAATGATCTTTTCAAGAGTTGGAAAGGGATGATATTTTTATCCTCCAGGATCAAGACAGACTCAAGTACAATGTATGATCACAGCAATAACCAATATTAAGAATTAATTATAATAACAGTGATAAAGTGAACATAGAAGCAGACAAGAGAAAGCATTTTACGTTGAAACAACAGAGTGAGGATACTCGAGAAACCTCGATATCTTGAGGCAGCAAGTTTACTATAAACCAAAATAGTTCCTGAAAGTCTACAAGTTTTCTAGGTTTATAAGACCTATGACTTCAGACGGATAGGCCTATGCAGTGTTCCTCAGGCAATATTGGTGTTACTGGAACTTCTTGCTTTACATGGTTCACAGTTGTGATTGAAAGTGGAGATAAGGGGTTGGGAAGGCACAGTTTGGTGGATATAGTGTTAGCCGTTCTTGGTAAGTTTGCTCTCACCCAGCAAGGATATTAGCAGCGGATCTTGAGAATAGATAACTTTCTAATATCAGATCAAATGACGATAGTGATGATTGATATATTTATCCAGGGTATGGACATGTGATGTCTGTCTTATCTATCTTGGAGTTTTATACTGGCACTCAACGCCATAGTATCTGAGCACCTGCCAGATAAAATCAACAGCAGGTTGACTTCATGAAGTCTCTAGCCCTTTTTCCTTGTCATGGTAAATAACTCTGCTTTTCTTTTTTATCTTATTAATTTCCTTTTTTATTTTTATTTTCTGGTAGTTGATTTTTTGGGGTATTATTTTCTTTCAGCATTTCCTTGTTTCAGGGCAGCAGGTCCCTGTCCTAAGTTTCCTAAGCAATGGTAGTGCACATTACTAACAATGGCTTAGCAGACTTATAGTAGAAATGTTTTTTTGTCATTGTTTGCCCAACCTTGCTTAAATCTGGTTTGGCTTCACAACTTCAAGTTTCATGTTTCTTTTAGGAAACAGTTTTGAGGGAATACATACCAACAACGGAGAGAGTAACTTATCAAAAGATATGTGCTGATACTCAAGTAACTTAAGACAGGTTTCTTTGCTGGCATTCTTGGATTTGGTGTGTATGCAACTCTTTTACAACAATTGGAAAGATAATTCTTTCAAGGAATGTCCAGCCTTTAAATCTGGTGTCACTCTTCTGGTAGTGTTCCAATTCTCTTATCTGAAAAATCTGTTATAATAATCTTCAACAATTATATAATCTAAGTTGTTACACATAAACAGATGGTCTTGTTGGCATTTCAGTAGCATCCTTGTTTGTTTTGTTTCTTAATATGACTCATACACTGAACCTTTCAAGTGTTACTGACATCATTAATGATACTTTTCATTTTGCTGACACATACACAGCCAAATAAGAACATCTTGGGCTTTGTTTACATTTTCCCATGTCCATGAACCCACACAATATTGTATATTACCACAATGTACGTTCATGTTAGCTGTTTTATATATATAACTATTTTCTCACCTTTAAAGATTGTGCCATCCAAGAGCACAACTCTGTAGTTCCATTAATCTATAATGTTGGGAATACAACTTTTCTACTGTTTGGCCATTCATCCAGTATTACTGGCTTTAGAACCTTTATTTGTTCATTTTCAGTTCCGTCTTCAATTTCTGTCATTTTCTGGAGTACCATATGTAGCTGCATGCCCATTCATCCACTAGTGTTATGTGGATATTTTCTTGACAGTGTACCTGCAATAGATTTTATCTTTTTCTGGAAGATGAGCAATTTCAATCTTGTATTTATGCAATCGGAGAGCCATTCCTGGGTGGTTTTGCCAGAGATAGAGATTTCTTCAAGAATTATTCAAACAGTTCACAAGCTGATTCAGCTGTAACACAGGGCTGGAGCACATTTTACTGAACTTGCAGCCAAATACAATTACATATAGTTTCTTTTATACATGTACATAATTATTCTCTGTGGTGTATGAGACTTGCAAAGACATGGCCTTCTGGGAGCAGTCCTGAAACAAGTCCATTTTTAGATCCAGCTAGTTTTAGGGAGTCAGCATTTTTTTAAAGGAACAAAACATGGAAGCACTGAACCTATTTCATTGTGATAAGGTCTTTTGTATTCTAGAAAGCAATGTTGTTTGCTTGCTTATTCCAGATGAAGTATCTCACTGTAGAAGCCATCACAGTGATGCAGTGATTTCGGATAAGTTTGGTGTAATCTTGGACAGATGGATAAAACACACCAAGAACTGTTTCTGTCACTATAAGCTTAAGGGTACGTCTACACTTACCTCCGGGTCCGGCGGCAGGCAATCGATGTTCTGGGATTGATTTATCGCGTCTGGTCTAGACGCGATAAATCGATCCTGGATCGATCCTGGAAGTGCTCGCCGTCGACACCGGTACTCCAGCTCGGTGAGAGGAGTACGCGGCATCGACGGTGGAGCCTCCCTGCCGCGTCTGGACCCGCGGTAAGTTCGGACTAAGGTACTTCGAATTCAGCTACGTTATTAACGTAGCTGAATTTGCGTACCTTAGTCCGAAGTGGGGGGTTAGTGTGGACCAGGCCTTAGTGGCACCAGCATTAAGGACAGGTTCAGAATAGCTTACTTTTTGGAACATAGAAAATGATTTTCTATGGATGGAGACATATACCTTTTTCATGTGATCTCTCATGTACAGCATGATGGATTGCATCACATTCTTTATTTTATCGAACAAATAATAGGGAATCAACAATGATAGCTGTAATTCCTTTTAATCCCTCATATGCCTCATCAGTCTTACACTGAAATTCACCTTCTGGTCAGATGTAAATAAGTAAATAAAAACACAGAGAAAAGGAATCTGCTAAAGTTATCAAAAGATATGTGCTGATACTTAAGAAACTTAAGACAGGTTTCTTTGCTGGCATTCTTGGATTTGATGTGTATGCAACTCTTTTACAACAATTGGAAAGATAATTCTTTCAAGGATGTCCAGCCTTTAGATCTGGTATCACTCTTCTGGTAGTGTTCCAATTCTCTTATCTGAAAAATCTGTTATAATAATCTTCAATTATATAATCTAAGTTGTTGCACATAAACAGATGATAATCAAGTAATTTAAGACAGGTTTCTTTGCTAGAATTCTTGGATTTGATCTGTATGCAATTGTTTTACAACAACTGGCAATTATAATTCTTTCAAGGATGTCCAGCACATGTAGCCAAAGGAATCAGCCAAAATCTATTTTGAAAGTTGATAGTTGTGGTGTCTATGCAGTTGTCCAGTACCTTGACCTTGCATTCACCCACTCAAACAGTGCACACTCGTAAATGTATATGTGATGTCTTCAACAGCTGGCAAAGGACGACATGTTTGTTTAATTCCTCAGAACCAAAGAGAGAGTTAGGTTTGCTTGTTTGGGCTTTTTCCATGACCACAAGTGAGTTAATCAAACCTGTCATTGCTTTAGTAATGAGACCCGTATGTAATCTAATTCCTGCTCAAGCTGATTACTCAGTTTAAACAGTAACTTTCCTTTTTATGGACTGTAGGAGTCCCTGTTTGGCAAGGTGAAAGGAATATTATCCTGGGAATAATCCAAGTGCTTTGAAAAATTCTGCATATTGTGTGAGGACACCAGCTTTCATAGTCTCAACTGGAAAAACAAATAGCTCCAATGTAATAAATTCAGAAATCTTACAAGTTTTCAAGCTCATTGGTGGTTTCTGATTATTCACAAGATAACACTCAAGCTATAGCATGGCATTTTTGCATCTGCTTTCTGGCTTGCATGTACATGTACTTTAAAATGTCCTCCTCCGTAGCCAGATAGTTTGTTCCGGTAATGGAACCTGACATTTGGATATTGTAGTGGTCCCTTGGTCTCAGGCTTGGAAGGAGGCCACTATGTCTTGCTGCATCAGGCACCAAACAACAGTAAATTAGCCATCAATGGCTCTGGCCCTCTGGGAGGGACAGAGCAGTAAACAGTCTCTAGTCCCAGCTTCCTGGCTAGGGCAGACAACAATCACAGTCTAAGGCCAGAGCAATAAGAATGGTCGCAGGCCTTTGGGCCTAAGGAACTCTTGAAGATAAGGTCCCTGTAGGATGGATCCCCAAGTACAATTCCATGAATGAAGCTGAACAACCAAGATAGCGTTTGTACCATGGACAGATTAATTGATACTTAAGGTCACTCAGGGCAGTTTACTAAAGACAGCCTACTTATGGCAGCTGATCATAGCGCTGAGAAGGAAGGTAAGAGCAATTACTACACTTTGCTATACTTATGAATCCAAAAGTTACAAAACATCATGACTCAATTCTGGATAAGAGTCTTTATAAAAAAAAAATATCCAAAATTCTAAAACCAGGGTCAGTTTGGACATCTCCAAGTGCTGTGGTTCAGAGTTGTTCTATTTCCGTGTGCCCATCGGTAGAATTTACCCCTTCCGAACAGCAATTTTCAAAGCTCTTTCCTTATCCTTTTCTAACCAATACCAGAATATTTGTTTTACATTAACAGCAGATTTTTTTTTGCAACTGCCTATGTCTGGAAAAAAAAGCAGCTTCTTTTTCTCCTAACTTTAATCTCATGGTGAGGTCTATTAAACTTTCCCAGCATTACAAATTCTTTATTAACACTTTGTAGGGAAACAAGTAACCTCAGATGTGTTATGTGCATTCCTTGATATCAATAACTTTATCAGACATTGTTCAAGAATACTTTATAGTGAGCTAAGGACAAGTTCTTGAATTTTTGCCTCTGCTGTGACCTATATAGCTGTAAAGCAGAAAACTAATTGTGACAGCCTGAACTCCTGAAATATCATGGACAAACTTTATTGAATTTAAGTTAAACCTTATTGAATTAGGGTTAATACCTCTGTGGTCCATTGTATTAAAAATGCAGTTGTGTATTGTTATTGTGGAATTGTATGTAATTCCCCTTGGAGGATGGGGATGCTGATGTAATTCCTCTGGTTATCAGCCCTTTGAAGCCACCCTCCTGGAGAGGTACACATATACCAAGTCAAACTTGATTTTCGAGGGTCCAACAAAGAAAGGATTTTTGGATAAATAGCCTGGTTTTAAACAGGCTCAGAGCCTTCCTCCTGCTCCTGCAAATAGACAAGATCCCAGGTCCATGGAGGGCCCAATCCTTACGGAAGGGTTGGAAGGACTTGGCCTATTGAAGCCCCATAAGACTGGGTGTTTGTTATGAGCTGATTCTGTGCTGAACTTTTTTCAGAGTAGCAGCCGTGTTAGTCTGTATCCGCAAAAAGAACAGGAGT